AGCCTCTTATTCTCTTATAATTCTATTGCGAGCTTAATATTTCCTTCACTTTGGTTAACTGAAGGCATGAAACTTTCTAAACAGTTTTTGCCTTGTTGCCAAATGGCAAAGTTGGTATCCATATATCTAACAAAAAATTTACGAGTCACAATTATCTTTTAAACTAAGCGTTCCTCAAACTTTGACATGTTTTTAGCCGAAATTAGAGCTAGGCCACATCCACTGTAAGGAAACGCGTCTGTTCAAAATACTTATGCTCGAAGGGTAAGTAAGAACTAGTCATGGATAAGTTAGGAAGTCTTGGAATGGAGACTATACTCAAATTAATTCGATCAACTTCACTCAAAGTGTCGGCTGAGTGATGGTTATAACTAAATTCACACTCGTTCAACGCGCATGCTGAGCTTATTAACCAAAGCAGACGTAAAAAATTGCTCAATCCCAATCATTCCTTTCTTTGGGTCATAAGCCTTGATGGCTCGTATCCATCTATACATAAAAACTTTTTCGTTATGAGTATACACATATATTATGTAGAACGGAGCTAGTCAATCTTCCTAACTTGGTGATATTCATCATACGACGAACAAAGGCTCTGCCAATTTTTGCTCGAAACGCGAGAGGATATCTCATGGACTTCGCCAACCTGAATGTCGTTGTATAGCCAAACGGCTGCAGTACAACGGGATTCACCCGTCGTCTTCTTGTGATATCGACCTTCGAATCTCCTTATCATCCACTTTCATGCTAAATGAAAGTCTCCACAGCAATTTAATATCATGAGATTTATCGAAATCCAATTTTTGTGTAGAAATTATCAGAGGACGCAGGACTGAGTACGTTGCATAATCTCGGCCTGTTGTTCTAAGCAATTTATGCGAATGAGGTCATACCGACTCATTAGATTCTAAGTTCATTATTGGATGCAAGTTTGCTTATCTCACAGAGACATTATATCAATTTTCTTTCTGCTTTCCATTCTTTCTGCTTGCGTTAGGCCTATCGCCTGGAGCCTTATTTAATACCTCAATATGCTAGCATTCCTGCCGTTCAATTGTCCGCTTGGCGATCCTCACTTACTGGCACTAAGGCGTCACTCGCTTCCAGATTTCGCCCTAGCCAGCCCCAGACTAAGACGCCTTCGCCCACTTTTAACCACACTTCTCTGGATCCCAGCTTTCCCCCAAAGGCTGCTATGAATCATGCTCTCGGAAACGAGGCTTGTGAAACAGTCCAATCTGCCGACAGCTCCGGTGGCCTCTTCAGGCTCCGCTTTCCCCGATGGCCCCTCCATCGAAAGTCGGGGTCTATGACTTTTGGAAGCCTCAATAGCGCATCCGCGGTTGACGCCTCAAACTTATCAAGACCTATCATTCTGTTTAGGCCACACGACAATGTCGCCAGGTCTCTGAGCTCATCAACTGTAGTTCCTGACGATCAAGCTCCAGAAAGCTTCCGGTCTAGTCTGGCTATTCAGCATAGATTTGGCCTTGCAAAGTCCGCCGCTTTGACCTCCGCT